TTCATGTCTCTTCTACATCAACATGTGTCCCCTCTTCTTCATGTCTTCTCTACATCAACATGTGTCCCCTCTTCTTCATGTCTCTTCTACAAAAACATGTGTCCCTCTTCTCATGTCTCTTTCTACTCAACAGGTCCCCTCTTCTTCATGTCTCTTCTACATCAACATGTGTCCCCTCTTCTTCATGTCTCTTCTACATCAACATGTGTCCCCTCTTCTTCATGTCTCTTTACATAACATGTGTCCCCTCTTCTTCATGTCTCTTCTACATCAACATGTGTCCCCTCTTCTTCATGTCTCTTCTACATCACCTGTGTCCCCTCTTCTTCATGTCTCTTCTACATCAACATGTGTCCCCTCTTCTTCATGTCTCTTCTACATCAACATGTGTCCCCTCTTCTTCATGTCTCTTCTACATCAACATGTGTCCCCTCTTCTTCATGTCTCTTCTACATCAACATGTGTCCCCTCTTCTTCATGTCTCTTCTACATCAACATGTGTCCCCTCTTCTTCATGTCTCTCTCATCAACATGTGTCCCCTCTTCTTCATGTCTCTTCTACATCAACATGTGTCCCTCTTCTTCATGTCTCTTCTACATCAACATGTGTCCCCTCTTCTTCATGTCTCTTCTACATCAACATGTGTCCCCTCTTCTTCATGTCTCTTCTACATCAACATGTGTCCCCTCTTCTTCATGTTCTTCTACATCAACATGTGTCCCCTCTTCTTCATGTCTCTTCTACATCAACTGTGTCCCTCTTCTTCATGTCTCTTCACATCAACATGTGTCCCCTCTTCTTCATGTCTCTTCTACATCAACATCTGTCCCCTCTTCTTCATGTCTCTTCACATCAACATGTGTCCCCTCTTCTCATGTTCTTCTACATACATGTGTCCCCTCTTCTTCATGTCTCTTCTACATCAACTGTGTCCCCTCTTCTTCATGTCTCTTCTACATCAACATGTGTCCCCTCTCTTCATGTCTCTTCTACATCAACATGTGTCCCCTCTTCTTCATGTCTCTTCTACATCAACATGTCCCCTCTTCTTCATGTCTTCTACATCAACATGTGTCCCCTCTTCTTCATGTCTCTTCTACATCAACATGTGTCCCCTCTTCTCATGTCTCTTCTACATCAACATGTGTCCCCTCTTCTTCATGTCTCTTCTACATCAACATGTGTCCCCTCTTCTTCATGTCTTCTTCTACATCAACATGTGTCCCCCTCTTCTTCATGCTCTTCTACATCAAATGTGTCCCCTCTTCTTCATGTCTCTTCTACATCAACATGTGTCCCCTCTTCTTCATGTCTCTTCTACATCAACATGTGTCCCCTCTTCTTCATGTCTCTTCTACATCAACATGTGTCCCCTCTTCTTCATGTCTCTTCTCATCAACATGTGTCCCCCTCTTCTTCATGTCTTTCTACATCAACATGTGTCCTCTCTTCTTCATGTCTCTTTACATCAACATGTGTCCCCTCTTTCATGTCCTCTTCTACATCAACATGTGTCCCCTCTCTTCAATGTCTCTTCTACATCAACATGTGTCCCCTCTTCTTCATGTCTCTTCTACATCAACATGTGTCCCCTCTTCTTCATGTCTCTTCTACATCAACATGTGTCCCCTCTTCTTCATGTCTCTTCTACATCAACATGTGTCCCCTCTTCTCCATGTCCTTCTACATCAACATGTGTCCCCTCTTCTTCATGTCTCTTCTACATCAACATGTGTCCCCTCTTCTTCATGTCTCTTCTACATCAACATGTGTCCCCTCTTCTTCATGTCTCTTCTACATCAACATGTGTCCCCTCTTCTTCATGTCTCTTCTACATCAACATGTGTCCCCTCTTCTTCATGTCTCTTCTACATCAACAGTGTCCCCTCTTCTTCATGTCTCTTCTACATCAACATGTGTCCCCTCTTCTTCATGTCTCTTCTACATCAAACATGTGTCCCCTCTTCTTCATGTCTCTTCTACATCAACATGTGTCCCCTCTTTTCATGTCTCTTCTCATCAACATGTGTCCCCTCTTCTTCATGTCTCTTCTACATCAACATGTGTCCCCTCTTCTTCATGTCTCTTCTCATCAACATGTGTCCCCTCTTCTTCATGTCTCTTCTACATCAACATGTGTCCCCTCTTCTTCATGTCTCTTCTTCATCAACATGTGTCCCCTCTTCTTCATGTCTCTTCTACATCAACATGTGTCCCCTCTTCTTCATGTCTCTTCTACATCAACATGTGTCCCCTCTTCTTCATGTCTCTTCTACATCAACATGTGTCCCCTCTTCTTCATGTCTCTTCTACATCAACATGTGTCCCCTCTTCTTCATGTCTCTTCTACATCAACATGTGTCCCCTCTTCTTCATGTCTCTTCTACATCAACATGTGTCCCCTCTTCTTCATGTCTCTTCTACATCAACATGTGTCCCCTCTTCTTCATGTCTCTTCTACATCAACATGTGTCCCCTCTTCTTCATGTCTCTTCTACATCAACATGTGTCCCCTCTTCTTCATGTCTCTTCTACATCAACATGTGTCCCTCTTCTTCATGTCTCTTCTACATCAACATGTGTCCCCTCTTCTTCATGTCTCTTCTACATCAACATGTGTCCCCTCTTCTTCATGTCTCTTCTACATCAACATGTGTCCCCTCTTCTTCATGTCTCTTCTACATCAACATGTGTCCCCTCTTCTTCATGTCTCTTCTACATCAACATGTGTCCCCTCTTCTCATGTCTTCTACATCAACATGTGTCCCTCTTCTTCATGTCTCTTCTACATCAACATGTGTCCCCTCTTCTTCATGTCTCTTCTACATCAACATGTGTCCCCTCTTCTTCATGTCTCTTCTACATCAACATGTGTCTTCTTCTTCATGTCTCTTCTACATCAACATGTGTCCCCTCTTCTTCATGTCTCTTCTACATCAACATGTGTCCCCTCTTCTTCATGTCCTCTACATCAACATGTGTCCCTCTTCTTCATGTCTCTTCTACATCAACATGTGTCTCCTCTTCTTCATGTCTCTTCTACATCAACATGTGTCCCCTCTTCTTCATGTCTCTTCTACATCAACATGTGTCCCCTCTTCTTCATGTCTCTTCTACATCAACATGTGTCCCCTCTTCTTCATGTCTCTTCTACATCAACATGTGTCCCCTCTTCTTCATGTCTCTTCTACATCAACATGTGTCCCCTCTTCTTCATGTCTCTTCTACATCAACATGTGTCCCCTCTTCTTCATGTATCTTCTACATCAACATGTGTCCCCTCTTCTTCATGTCTCTACATCAACATGTGTCCCCTCTTCTTCATGTATCTTCTACATCAACATGTGCCCCCTTCTTCTTCATGTCTCTTCTACAATCAACATGTGTCCCCTCTTCTTCATGTCTCTTCTACATCAACATGTGTCCCTCTTCCATGTCTCTTCTACATCAACATGTGTCCCCTCTTCTTCATGTCTCTTCTACATCAACATGTGTCCCCTCTTCTTCATGTCTCTCTACATCAACATGTGTCCCCTCTTCTTCATGTCTCTTCTACATCAACATGTGTCCCCTCTTCTTCATGTCTCTTCTCATCAACATGTGTCCCCTCTTCTTCATGTCTCTTCTACATCAACATGTGTCCCCTCTTCTTCATGTCTCTCTACATCAACATGTGTCCCCTCTTCTTCATGTCTTCTACATCAACATGTGTCCCCTCTTCTTCATGTTCTTCTACATCAACATGTGTCCCCTCTTCTCATGTCTCTTCTACATCACATGTGTCCCCTCTTCTTAATTCTCTTCTACATCAACATGTGTCCCCTCTTCTTCATGTCTCTTCTACATCAACATGTGTCCCCCTCTTCCATGTCTCTTCTACATCAACATGTGTCCCCTCTTCTTCATGTCTCTTCTACATCAACATGTGTCCCCTCTTCTTCATGTCTCTTCTACATCAACATGTGTCCCCTCTTCTTCATGTCTCTTCTACATCAACATGTGTCCCCCTTCTTCATGTCTCTTCTACATCAACATGTGTCCCCTCTTCTTCATTCTCTTCTTCATCAACATGTGTCCCCTCTGTGGAAAGAGACTCTGAAAGTTTCAGGAACAAAGATTCTCTCTCTTTTTGATCCAATTATATAAAAACCTGTCTGAAAATGAGCTGATCAGATTTTGGACACTTTATGATGTCATAACGATTTTTTTGTCTTGTGTAACCATTAGCCAATCAGCAACCAAGGTAACCAAGGTAACCAAGGTAACCAAGGTGTAACCCCCCCCCCCCTTATCACCTGAATCTCCTCCTAGAGGATATTTAACTACGTGAAAGTGTAAAATAATATTAATTTATAGTTTTATGACACTTTTAAAAACAGACACTCTGTCATCTCAGGACATCAGATTAAATTAGAAATCAGAATTAAACGTTGTAATGAAATAGTGAAGAACATCTTCCCGATAATGGCCGGTTAGCTGCATATAAAACCTGTAATTGTATGTCTTAATTCCCCGCAGGTGTCGCAGTACTCTGTAACCTACACTAGTTAATTTAAATAGTAATTGTCGGGAAAATACTGAATGTAGGGTTCAACTAATCTGAACAAAGCATTGAACCGGTATTTCTCAATACCAGAACAAAAGTTGAGGTAAAACCTGCCTGATACTGTCTGTTAGCTGCATACAATCCCTTGTACATCTTTATTCTTGACTAAATACCTATGTGTTCCCCGCAGGAGTCGCAGTACTCGGCGTACAGCGACTCGTAGCAGCGCAGCAGTACGGCCGGCTCTCTCTCATGATGTAACGCTGACCGCCCAGCGACGCCTCACACTCGAAGCAGCAGAAGTGCTTCATGTGCCAGTACCGACCCTCGGCCTCCGTGCACTCATCAGCCAGAATAATCTACGGTTCAGACACGAGAGGGGGGGGGGGGGGCACACAGAGGGAGATTTGGGTTAACAGGATGAAAAAGGTCAGTCTCTGCAGATCCATTAACTGCGTGTGCTAAGCTCTTGAGTCACACTGAGAGCCCTTAGAAACAGGGAAACCCCCCGGAGACATCTGCAAATACTCTCAACCATGCACAGATCTAAGAGAGTGATAAAACAGTAGTGGTAAATCACCTGAAAGAGCCTGAGGATTCATTAAAGGATCTTTTCTGCAGATATTTGAATCAAAATCCTCCGACGCAACACCTCTTGCTTTTTTTTTAGCTTCTGTTAACAGCCCACATATTTATATATTATTACCATAAGCAGTAACTTATGACACGCAGTATTGCATTTACATTCTGTATATCTTATTCCATTTGCACATATACTGTATAGTCTACTTATATCACTTGTATGTCTTAAGTATATTGTATGTTGTCTGTTGGAAGAGCCTGAGATTTTATATTTCAATGGCAGAAACTATATTTTAGATCAGGGATGGGCAAATGGCGGCCCGGGGTACTTGTAGTACCGATACCGTCCACTAGACTCCTAGTTACATCGCGAGCTGCGTACATTATTTCGTTGGTAAAAACATATTTAGAGCTAGATTAAAGCTGATTGCAAGATGGTGATATATAACGGGGGCTAGGATATGTCCTCATAGTAACACAGAGGTCATATGTTACCCCGCTCACCAACGTGTCGTGTGCTCATGTAGCCTGGAGAAATGAACTAATATATCAACATAAGTCGCTTATCAATTGTGCCAGTTTTTAATGATTTATAATAGTTTATTTGATTTGCATATTGACTGGGTACTGTGCCATCTCATTTGTGTTTTAAGACCGCTGTATTCGTCTGCCTGGATTGTCTGTTTTATCTATTGTAACTTTGTTCACGCTGCCCCTTCTTGGCCAGGTCGCTCTTCGAAAGAGACTTTAATCTCAATGGGACTTTTTACCTGGTTAAATAAAGGATATATATATATCTCAGGGTCTATGCAGGACATCCGGAAGTCACATGTAATTCCTTTTAAGACCTTTTTTAAGACCCTTTCCATACATTTTAAGACCCTCATCGCCACTTTGAGTTCTAAACCGGTTGCCTTGGCGGACACACTTTACCTCACATTTGACTATATACAGTATTGATTGTCCTTCCTCCTTATCTTTCCACCATTTGGACGCAGACCTTGCATTCCCCATAACGATGTTGTTTAACAACCGGCGCAAACGGACCTTCGCGTCCTGTTCAGATGACGTCAAATCCAACGGGATGCCAGAAATAAACTACACAGAATCACACTACACACCTACGCAATGATTACATTCAGCCACACTGTAGAATACAACCTCTTTGGACCATTTATATACTTATTGGAAACAAGCTACACAATGTAACACCTTGGAAAATGCCGTTTAATACTTTTTTAATAGCCTTCATTTTCACTAAATTGATTGATCAACCTTTTAATACTTTTTAAGACCCTGCGGACCCCTGTATATACAACTTTTCCCTCCCTGAGCCCTCACCTCGTCGCAGGCTGGCAGCGGGGCTTCAGCCTCTCGGCGTGGTGCCGCCCGCAGTAGATGTTTCCCTCCTGGAAGAAGTAGATGAGGTCGACCAGCAGCTCGCTGCAGGTGTGGCAGCGGAAACACTGAGGGTGCCAGCAGCCGCTCTGCCCCGCGCGGCTGGCAAACACCGCGATGTCCCCCCCGCAGATCTGACGGCCACACTGGAAAAGATCCGGGGGGACGGAAGTTAGAGGGCGACAGGTCGACCCAAAATACACACTTTTCCTGTCACCTGTAGAGCTGTTTTATAAATGTAGATCAGGGGTGTCCAAACTACGGCCCGCGGACCATTTTGAATCGGCCCTCACCAAATTCAAAAAGGATAATGACTTAAGTATAATAAACTTCTGCTCGTCTTATATTGTACTTCTTAAATATATAACTAAAAGTATTCATGTGTTAATAAGACCACTTTTCAAATCAATTCAGTCGATTAAAGTTGAAAACATGTTCTAAGAAATGTAAGTAGATAATAAAGAAGCCCAATAACACATTTACATAACATTGAATTCCACCCTTCATATTTCCTCTTATTATAATCAATCTGAAGCTCCTGTTTGAAGGAATGATCTGCCAACACAATAAAGTAAACCCTCTGGAGAGCTGTTTGTTTCTTACAGCATTTTCAAGTATCAAGAATCATTTACCTACATTTGATTGACTTTTCCAACTTATAACTGGACTTATGAGGCGATATACATCTCCTCTAGTGAGCGGCCCAGCTGTTTTGGGTGTCCAAAAAAAAAAAGGTTTGGACACCCCTGAGATGTACTGTTAGTTGTTGGTTTTAACCTGGAATGTATGAGGTGATATAAGAGAGGGGATTGGATTGTTTAATCTATATAAATGATATATATTGCACATGTGTCCGTCCTGGGAGAGGGATCTTCCTCTGTTGCTCCCCCCCAAAGTTTCTTCCATTTTAACCCTTTTATCGTGGGTTTTTTGGGGAGTTTCCCTCCAATATTATGAACGTTATCTCTATTGCAATACCAGTCAAAAATAATGTGAATGTTATTTTTACCACTTGTTTAGCAGCGTTACTCCATGGCATTGGAGAGACATTTATACAGCTGATATCTCTAACCCTCTGCAACTCACACTACAGCTGTTAAGATAGATACAAAGCAATGCAGTTAAGAGGTCAAATAAGTGTTTTTAACTATCCCTTTAACCAATGATGAACTGAGCAGCACTTTTCCTTCACAGCCCTTTAATCGTTTCCTCCCCTGAGCCTTTCCTGCGCCTACATGCCAATCAAAAGTCCCTCCTTCTGCATCTATGTGTTTACAAAGCTTTCCCTTGCGTGCATGATGTTGATTACAAGGACACGTTTTTACGAGGGAGTCTTCTGCGTGGCTTTGGAGACATAAAATCGAAATGCTGCTCTACCTGTTGGCAGATGGCGCCCGTCATCGTCAGAGGGAAGAGTCTGACGACGCCTCGGCCCAGGTTCTCTCTCTTCCTCTGCTGACTGAACACTCGCAGCTCCTTCTTCTCCTCGTCGTCCAGAGTGTTGCAGTACTGAGACTGCAGGAAACACACGGATAATGGTGTTGACATAAAAAAACGACTTCTTAACCTTCAACTACCTCTTAGTTTCAGCGAGATGAATTCAATCTGTATCTTGTTACGAACCGATTGTGTAACTTCAATTAACAACAAATGAGTTGGTTATACGCCTCTTGAAATGCATCATCCTGTTTTTAAAGTGTCATAACTATATACAAGTGAGCATAAGAAGCGGGCTGGGATCAAACCCACAAACAGAAGGGGTTCGATCCCAGCCCGTGCAGTCACAGTCGCACGGGCTGGGATCAAACCACAACCAGAAGGGGTTCGATCCCAGCCCGTGCAGTCACAGTCGCACGGGCTGGGATCAAACCCACAACCAGAAGGGGTTCGATCCCAGCCCGTGCAGTCACAGTCGCACGGGCTGGGATCAAACCCACAACCAGAAGGGGTTCGATCCCAGCCCGTGCAGTCACAGTCGCACGGGCTGGGATCAAACCCACAAACAGAAGGGGTTCGATCCCAGCCCGTACAGCCAACATGTCGATGTATCCTTGGGCGAGATACTTAACCCTGAGTTGCTCCCGATGGCCAACGGTGTGTGAATGTGTGTGAATGTTAGTTCCTAGAGTAAGGTACACTGCTCTGTATGAATGGGTGTGAATGGGTGAATGACATGTAGTATGTAAAGCGCTTTGAGGCGTCGTAAAGACTGGATAAAGCGCTATATAAATACAGTCCATTTACCATTTAACTGGCATTTAAGAGTCTGGTTTTATACAATCCAAATGAATTAATAGATATGTGTAATTTTTTACTTAGTCCGACCAAATGGAGCATCAAAACAGAACGATATTTACCAGTTTCTGTAAAAACAAAAAGCTAAACTAAACCCAGTATACTGATAAACACTTATACGAGGTAAACATGAATATAAAACCAATCCCTACTGGATTATCCTCACACATATGATTGAGTATGATACAAATATGTCAAATAAACCACCATAAAGCATTTCGAAATAACATTTAAACACAATAACATTTTGTGATGATCAAATAATTGCAAAATATGTCAGAAACAGCTCTTTTCTGTTTTATATCAAACAAAAGTGAATATCTTTGGGCTTCGAACTGACTAACAGAAACATCAGTGAAGTTTATCACAAAATATGAATAAAAAAATGATGGGCAGAATAAGAAATAATAAGAAAGTATTGTTTGCTGCCCTAGTTTAAAGAAAGCTACGAATAAATCTAAGGTATTGTCGTATTTTCTATTAGCAAATTAGTTTAACATGTCACCACAGTATACGACACGATAATACTTTAATGGTCAGATCAAGTCTCACAGCAGCTCCATGTGTAACATCAACATAGCCAAATATACACTGAACAAAAATATAAATGCAACACTTTTGTTTTTGTTCCCATTTTTCTTGAGATGAACTCAAAGATCTAAAACATTTTCTATAAACACAAAATACCATTTCTCTCTCAAATATTGTTCACAAATCTGAAAGAATCTGTGATAGTGAGCACTTCTCCTTTGCCGAGATAATCCATCCCACCTCACAGGTGTGGCATATCAAGATGCTGATTAGACAGCATGATTATTGCACAGGTGTGCCTTAGGCTGGCCACAATAAAAGGCCACTCTGAAACGTGCAGTTTTGCTTTATTGGGGGGGTCTGAAAACCATGCAGCATCTGGTGTGAGGGGTAGGGTTAGGGTAATCTTGTGAATCGAGTGGCCTGTGTTCGTCGTCCATAACATACGCCTGTCCATACCATAACCCCACCACCACCATGGGCCACTCGATTCACAACATTACCCTAACCCTAACCCTACCCCTAACCCTAACCCTACCCCTCACACCAGATACTGACTGGTTTTCGGACCCCCCCAGACCCCCCCAATAAAGCAAAAATGCACGTTTCAAGTGCTCACTATCACAGATTTTTTCAGATTTGTGAACAATATTTGAGAGAAATGGTTACTTTGTGTATATAGAAAATGTTTTCGATCTTTGAGTTCATCTCATGAAAAATGGGAGCAAAAACAAAAGTGTTGCGTTTATATTTTTGTTCAGTGTATAAAAACACAATACATGAACAACAAACAGACATTTAACATGACGGCACGATCACCGAGTATAACATTACAGCATGAGTGAATCTGACCCTGGATCAGGTGACGTTACCTCGCTGTCATGCGCTGGCAGCTGGTGCAGCAGCTGTTTGATCCGGTATCTTTCCCCCGGACTGTTCACATACGGGATCCGGTCCTCCGGTAGGCAGCTGAAGTACTGGTACACCTGTAGCACGAGGAAAAGGTATTTCAGTTCATTTTGTTCAACTTAAGAAATATATCAAATAAACAGGAATAATGAATTCCTTGTGATGAGGTGGAAAGTTATATTATACTGAAAAGGCTTAAGACGATGCCTACGCTTATTACAAAAATGATTGTGTCTAATTCTCGTTAAAATTATACTTAAAAAAATGAAGGAATAAAATAAAAAACATTTAAATAAAGAAACTGTCACGGTGTGTGAAGCAGGTAGGATCACGTATCACGTATCACTAGGCCACCATGGTGGGTGGAGGGGGTCAGGAGGACGGGACTGAGCTGACCGCCCAGGAGCACAGCAGAGGACCAGGAAGGGATCTCGGGCGGACGGACCGGGGGCAAGGCAGAGTTCAAAAAGGGGTATTCGGGGGGACGGCCCGGGGGCAAGGCAGAGTCCAAGGTGGGGGTTATGGAGGGGCGAAGGACATCGCAGGCGAACTCAGGGGGCCGAGCATGAGGGCGAGGACCGCGGCCGGGAAAGTCAGGGGGCCGGGCTCGAGGGCGAAGGCCGTGGCTCTCAGAGGGCCGGGCTCGAGGGCGAAGACCAGACAGCTGCGGAGGCCGGGCAGGAACCGGTGTCGGAGTTGGTGGGACAGGCCTCGGCAGGATCCCCCACGGAAAAGGACCAGGACACGGGATTGGCAGGACCCCCGGCAGGAGAGCAGTTGGCGGGACCTCCAACGGGACAGGACATAGGGTTGGCAGGACCCCCGGCAGGAGAGTAGTCGGCGGGGCCTCCAACGGCACAGGACATAGGATTGGCAGGACCCCCGGCAGGAGAGTAGACGGCGGGACCTCCAACGGGACAGGACAAAGGGTTGGCAGGACCCCCGGCAGGAGAGTAGTCGGCGGGGCCTCCAACGGGACAGGACAAAGGGTTGGCAGGACCCCCGGCAGGAGAGTAGTCGGCGGGGCCTCCAACGGCACAGGACATAGGATTGGCAGGACCCCCGGCAGGAGAGTAGACGGCGGGACCTCCAACGAGACAGGACAAAGGGTTGGCAGGACTCCCGGGCAGGAGAGTAGTCGGCAGGACCTCCAACGTGACAGGACAAAGGGTTGGCAGGACCCCCGGCAGGAGAGTAGTCGGCGGGGCCTCCAACGGCACAGGACAAAGGGTTGGCAGGACCCCCGGCAGGAGAGTAGTCGGCGGGACCTCCAACGGGACAGTACATGGAGTTGGCAGGACCCCCAGCGGAACTTCCAACAGACCAGGACATTGGGTAGGGACTTGAGACGGGACTCGAGAGGGGACTCGAGAGGAGACTCGAGAGGGGAACCAAGGGGGAACTCGAGAGGGGACTCGAGAGGAGACTCGAGAGGGGAACCAAGGGGGAACTCGAGAGGGGAACCAAGGGGGAACTCGAGAGGAGACTCGAGAGGGGAACTAGAGAGGGGACTCGAGAGGGGACTAGAGAAGAGACTAGAGGAGGGACTAGAGGAGGGACTAGAGAAGGGACCTCGAGAGGGGACTCGAGAAGGGACTCGAGAGGGGACTCGGGTAGGAACTTGAGAGGTGACTAGAGAGGGGACTCGAAAAGGGACTTGAGAGGGAACCTGAGAGGGAACTGGAGAGGGAACTGGAGAGGAGACTCGAGAGGGGACTCGAGAGGGGACTGGAGAGGGGACTCGAGTGGGGACTCGAGAGGAGACTGGAGAGGGGACTGGAGAGGGGACTCGAGAGGGGACTCGAGAGGAGACTGGAGAGGAGACTCGAGAGGGGACCCGAGAGGGGACTCGAGAGGAGACTGGAGAGGAGACTCGAGAGGGGACCCGAGAGGGAACTCGAGAGGGGACTCGGGTAGGAACTGGAGAGGGGACTCGGGTAGGAACTGGAGAGGGGACTCGGGTAGGAACTGGAGAGGGGACTCGGGTAGGAACTGGAGAGGGGACTCGGGTAGGAACTGGAGAGGGGACTCGGGTAGGAACTTGAGAGGGAACTTGTGTCGGTCGGTACGCCGACAGGACACGGGGAGCTGGCGTCGTCTGGGGAGCCAGCAGGAGACGAGGTGCTGGAGTCGGCCGGTACGCCGACAAGACTCGGGGAGCTGGCGTCGGCTGGGGAGCCAGCAGGAGACGAGGTGCTGGAGTCGGCCGGTACGCCGACAAGACTCGGGGAGCTGGTGTTGGCTGGAGAGCCAACAGGAGACGAGGTGCTGGAGTCGGCCAGTACGCCGACAAGACTCCGGGAGCTGGCGTCGGCTGGGGAGCCAGCAGGAGACAAGGTGCTGGAGTCGGGACCATGACTGCTGGAGCCGGTACTTGAGCCGGAAACCATGGCTGGAACTGGGGCCGGAACCATGGCTGTATGGGCCAGCTCTGGTGCAGGGACCACCGTTGTAAGATCCAGTTCTGGAGCCGGAAACATGGCTGTAAGGTCCGGAGCCGAAGCCTGGATCATGGCTGTGTGGGCCGGTTTTGGAGCCGGAAACATGGCTGATGGGGCCGGCACTGGAGCCGGAACCATGGCTGCTGGGCAAGGAACCGGAACACGGATCCATGGCTGTGTGGGGTGGTACTGGAGCACGGTACCATGGCTATGTGGGATGGTACTGGAGCACGGAACCATGGCTGCTGGGTCCGGCACTGGAGCCGGAACCATGGCTGTTGGGGCCTGTACTGGAGCCGGAACCATGGCTGTTGGGGCCTGTACTGGAGCCGGAACCATGGCTGCTGGGGCTCGGGCTGCTAGCCTGGCCTTGCGACGACTCCTCTTAGCAGCCTCCTGAATACTCCGTGGACCTCCATAAGCCTGACGAGTTCCGGAATACGACTCCTGGACAGGAGCAGGAACTGGGGCAGAAGCACGGGTTGACTTCAGGCGGAACCCACCAAGGCGTATGGTGCCAGGTTGGGAATTGGGAGACAGGGAGCTAGCATGTCTGGAATCACATGCTTGAAGGAAGTCCAAAATCCAGTCAGGTAAAAACTCAACAAAACATGGTTTCTCTGCTGCCAACCGGAGCGCCTCTACCAGAGCGGCCCTCTTCTGCCGAACACTGGACGGTCCCTTCCACCAATCGAAGCAGCAAGCCAGATAGAAGGTTAAATGCTGTAATTCAACCTCCCATGGATCATCTGCTGGGTCCATTTTGTGGTCGGACCCAAATGCAGATTAAAGTGAGAATTCCTTTATTTCAAGGCTAGGTGCTAAACAAAGACAAAACAGAACGCTCACCGACGAACTAGTCATGACACAAGACGAACCGACAAAGACAGACAGAAAAACCAGAACTTAAATACACACAAGACTAATCACACAAACAAGACACAGGTGAGGAGGGAGGAGAAAACACAGGGGCCACAGGTGAACACAATCGGGTAATCAGACACACCAGGGAAACTAACGACAGGGAACCACAGACAAATCCAAACAAGACACAACGCAGACAGAAACAGGCAAGACAGGAAGTGAAGACCTTTCAAAATAAAACATGAAACAAGACAAGACAAAACACCATAAAGACAGATCGTGACAGAAACAAAATTAAAATTAAATTAAACAAATAAACAAAGGAATAAATTAAAAATGTAACAAGGAAACCACATACAAAATACAATTTATAATTCTACTAATAAAATATATAACAAAAAATATAATATACAAAAAAATATATATGCATATTATATATCCCAAAAAGTATATGTATAGTTATTTTTTTTATCTTAAAACATTATGTATATTATATATTCCCAATAAAAAAAAGTCCAAACATCAGTTTTATTGTTATTGATCTTCTTATATATTGTTATCAATGCTATGATTTACACTCTGTCAGGGCTTGTTCACATAAGGATCATCAATAACAGAACGCAGAGATCCATTTATCCATTTACAGAGCAATTTATTCAATTACAGTCGTAAATCAGTAACCTTAGTTCCCATGGTAATAAAGTGTGTGTGTGTGTAGGAACACGTCCAATGGAAACCAGTGTGTTGTTCCTCCCTGTCTCGATGTGTGTGTGTGTGCTGTTACCTGTTCGGGCTTGAGCCCCGGCGGCACCCAGGCGTATTCCTCCGAGGCGCAGCCGGAGTCGTCGTCGGAGATGGAGTGTCTCTGGAAGTCGGACACCAGCTTCGTCATCATCTTCTCCAGCTGACCCGGCACGCCGCGCACCGCGTGCTCCTCCCTCACACACTTACAGTGCACACAGATCTTCCTGCAGAGACACAGAGAGAGGAGGACATCTGAGATTCATCCCTGAGGAGCTTTTTTAATGTGTTTTAGTGATTTACAGCACAAGCCAAAGATAACCAAGTGTCACATTTTTCAGGAAGCTGGGATCTCCTGGTGCTTCAGGTGTTAAGGAGCAAGCGGTAAAATAACAACAAATACAATGGAAATATATATAGGAAAGACTTTCAGACGAGCCCTTTATTGACACCAAACACTAACACTAAATACATTTAAACTGGATGTTATTTAACACCATTATTCCAAAGAAAGTGGATACTGAATGTGTTTTCATACAATTAAACAATGTTCAAGTAAGTTTAGTGACTATTGCACATGGCAGGAGCTGGCTTAAACTTTTCAACCAACTTTCCATTTCTTTTCACTTCTCCCATCCCTTCAAGAGGACATATACGGCACATGTTCAGGTGTATATCAGTATGTAGTGTCTCTACTTTAAAGAGTCCTCTCCTGTTGATGTTCAGGTGTATATCAGTATGTAGTGTCTCTACTTTAAAGAGTCCTCTCCTGTTGATGTTCAGGTGTATATCAGCATGTAGAGTCTCTACTTTAAAGAGTCCTCTCCTGCTGATGTTCAGGTGTATATCAGTATGTAGTGTCTCTACTTTAAAGAGTCCTCTCCTGTTGATGTTCAGGTGTATATCAGTATGTAGTGTCTCTACTTTAAAGAGTCCTCTCCTGTTGATGTTCAGGTGTATATCAGTATGTAGAGTCTCTACTTTAAGAGTCCTCCCTGCTGTTGTTCAGGTGTATATCAGTATGTAGTGTCTCTACTTTAAAAGAGTCCTCTCCCTCCGCTGATGTTCAGGTGTATATTCAGTGTGTAGGTGCTCTATCTTTAAAGAAGTCCTCTCCTGCTGATGTTCAGTGTATATCAGTATGTAGTGTCTCTCTACTTTAAAGAGGTCCTCTTCCTGCTGATGTCAGGTGTATTCAGTATGTAGTGTCTCTACTTTTAAAGAGTCCTTCTCTCCTGCTGATGTTCAGGTGTATATCAGTGTGTAGTGGTCCTCACTTTTAAAGAGTCCTCTCTGGCCTGATGTTCAGGTGTATATCAGTGCTGTAGTGTCCTCTACTTTAAAGAGGTCCTCTCCTCCTATGACACTGATGTTCAGGTGTATAATTCAGTATGTAGTGTCCTGCTACTTTAAAGAGTCCTCTCCTGCTGATGTTCAGGTGTATATCAGTGTGTAGTGTCTCTACTTTAAAGAGTCCTCTCCTGCTGATGTTCAGGTGTATATCAGTATGTAGTATCTCTACTTTAAGAGTCCTCTCCTGCTGATGTTCAGGTGTATATCAGTATGTAGTATCTCTACTTTAAAGAGTCCTCTCCTGCTGATGTTCAGGTGTATATCAGTGTGTAGTGTCTCTACTTTAAAGAGTCCTCTCCTGCTGATGTTCAGGTGTATATCAGTATGTAGTGTCTCTACTTTAAAGAGTCCTCTCCTCCTGCTGATGTTCAGGTGTATATCAGTATGTAGTGTCTCTACTTTAAAGAGTCCTCTCCTGCTGATGTTCAGGTGTATATCAGTATGTAGTGTCTCTACTTTAAAGAGTCCTCTCCTGCTGATGTTCAGGTGTATATCAGTATGTAGTGTCTCTACTTTAAAGAGTCCTCTCCTGCTGATGTTCAGGTGTATATCAGTGTGTAGTGTCTCTACTTTAAAGAGTCCTCTCCTGCTGATGTTCAGGTGTATATCAGTTGTGTAGTGTCTCTACTTTAAAGAGTCCTCTCCTGCTGATGTTCAGGTGTATATCAGTATGTAGTGTCTCTACTTTAAAGAGCCTCTCCTGCTGATGTTCAGGTGTATATCAGTATAGTATCTCTACTTTAAAGAGTCCTCTCCTGCTGATGTTCAGGTGTATATCAGTATGTAGTGTCTCTTACTAAAGAGTCCTCTCCTGCTGATGTTCAGGTGTATATCAGTATGTAGTATCTCTACTTTAAAGAGTCCTCTCCTGCTGATGTTCAGGTGTATATCAGTATGTAGTGTCTCTACTTTAAAGAGTCCTCTCCTGCTGATGTTCAGGTGTATATCAGTATGTAGTCTCTACTTTAAAGAGTCCTCTCCTGCTGATGTTCAGGTGTATATCAGTATGTAGTATCTCTACTTTAAAGAGTCCTCTCCTGCTGATGTTCAGGTGTATATCAGTATGTAGTGTCTCACTTTAAAGAGTCCTCTCCTGCTGATGTTCAGGTGTATATCAGTATGTAGTGTCTCTACTTTAAAGAGTCCTCTCCTGCTGATTTCAGGTGTATATCAGTATAGTGTTGTCTCTACTTTAAAGAGTCCTCTCCTGCTGATGTTCAGGTGTATATCAGTGTGTAGTGTCTCTACTTTAAAGAGTCCTCTTCCCTGCTGATGTTCAGGTGGTATTATCAGTATGTAGTGTCCTCTACTTTAAAGAGTCCTCTCCTGCTGAGGTTCAGGTGTATATCAGTATGTAGTATCTCTACTTTAAAGAGCCCCTCCTGCTGATGTTCAGGTGTATATCAGTATGTAGTGTCTCTACTTTAAAGAGTCCTCTCCTGCTGATGTTCAGGTGTATATCAGTATGTAGTATCTCTACTTTAAAGAGTCCTCTCCTGCTGATGTTCAGGTGTATATCAGTATGTAGTGTCTCTACTTTAAAGAGTCCTCTCCTGCTGATGTTCAGGTGTATATCAGTATGTAGTATCTCTACTTTAAAGAGTCCTCTCCTGCTGATGTTCAGGTGTATATCAGTATGTAGTGTCTCTACTTTAAAGAGTCCTCTCCTGCTGATGTTCAGGTGTATATCAGTATGTAGTGTCTCTACTTTAAAGAGTCCTCTCCTGCTGATGTTCAGGTGTATATCAGTATGTAGTGTCCTCTACTTTAAAGAGTCCTCTCCTGCTGATGTTCAGGTGTATATCAGTATGTAGTGTCTCTACTTTAAAGAGTCCTCTCCTGCTGATGTTCAGGTGTATATCAGTATGTAGTGTCTCTACTTTAAAGAGTCCTCTCCTGCTGATGTTCAGGTGTATATCAGTATGTAGTGTCTCTACTTTAAAGAGTCCTCTCCTGCTGATGTTCAGGTGTATATCAGTATGTAGTGTCTCTACTTTAAAGAGTCCTCTCCTGCTGATGTTCAGGTGTGTATCAGTGTGTAGTGTCTCTACTTTAAAGAGTCCTCTCCTGCTGATGTTCAGGTGTATGTGTGGGAGAGAAGCTACCCGAATCAATTAAGTTAATGCACCCTATAATGTTCATACTCCTGGCATCAGCAGGAGCACAACATTGATAAGGCACTCCCTCAGTTTAGTAACGTTATGATTTATGGACACACTTTGCGTTGGAGACATGTCACAATCTAGCCCACACACATTCTTCAGGCTGACTCAGAGAGTCACTGCAGCCAGAAATTAATAACACAACTGTTACTAATACATAGTTACTAATACAAGAGTTACTGACACAACAGTTATCACAGCAGTAAACAAATACACAATCTACACATCAGATAAGATTCGGGATTCCTTGAGGAGAGGACAGCCTTTGTGTGTACTGCTGATACTCTAACACAACTGCAGTAAACTCAATCTCCTCGCAGATGTTTTTGAGGATCTCACATCCCAAACAAGCTACTACCAGACCGGCAGGAAATGAGGTCGCTGACATAAGCCTGGCTGTCAATCCCGCGGCAGTAAAGCGAGAGGGAGGTGAAGACTGGAGCAGTAATCTCCCTCCGCCTCCCATTACACCCCCGAAAGTGGGTGTGCCTCACTGTGGGACCGCTGGAGTCAGAATAAAGCGCCCCGGGGTGACACTGAAGTGTGTGTGTGACATGTAAGTGTGTGTGTGGCGCTACATTGTGTCCATATGCAGCTTGTGTTGCATGTGTGCATCTCTGCTGTTGTGATTGCATAACGGCCTGCCAGCTGGCACTTGTGGCTCAAGTTCACAAGGCACAAAGCTGCTTTATTTGCAGCACCCAACCCCCACACGACCAAAAGACTCAAACACACACACAAATGGTTGTAAACTGCACAAGTGCTCCTCTTCTGATCAATAAACTGTCTTTGCATGGTTGGGAACGGCAGGTAATGTCGCCATGTCTGTGTGAACGTCTGAGCTCCACTGTCTTTACTCAAGTTATTGAGAGGGAGTGGACAAAACAAGAGGACCTTTGTGATTTCAGCAGCTTTTCTAAGGTCCTAAACAGTTGCCTGTATAGCTGAGTCAGGAAGGTTGTCGGTTCAAGTCCCCAAACAGACCAATGCCAAAACTTCTCCTTAGTACACTGCATGTCAAACAATGTGATCACTTGTGCTGTGTGTGCATTTCTACCGGTTAGTGTCGTCTCGAATGGCACACTGTCGCTCTCCCGGACTTTAAGGGACGATCACCACTGCTAACTAGCGAGCTAGCAACGTTATGGTTTCAGAGTTTACTCAAGTGAACACAATCAAATTAAGTATGGTTTCATTTCGACACCAGTATCGCGGTATGTTTATCAAGCAGCATTATGTCGCCATGATGTGGGTTCTTGAGTGTGAGAAATGTCCAATTGACAGTCAACTGTTTGCGGTTATGACAGCACCATCAGGTCCTCAAGATGCATTTGAACCACATTGGGAAAAACACTTTAGCACAGAAAATAGCACATGCAAGTCCAGAAGTACACAACTTGAGACGAAGACAACGTACTGAGTGTGGACCGCTTCATGGTAGCTGCACACTGCTCCTAGTAATATAGTCTAACTTTCATTATGTGTTACGCTGTAAAAAAGTGTGATGAATACACTTTTTTTTGTTTTGGTTTTCTTTAGACTTGTGATATGCCTCTGTCCAGAAGTTGACATAATATATAGCTTTAACTGCCAAGCAGGTCCAATACATAATAGTAAACACAGCTTAGGCTTAGCCATGTTGCCACAAATCTGACCCCAGCCTTGTGTACTGTATGTGTGTGTCAGTTGTGTGTGTTGGGAAACGGGGAGGG